TTTTTTTTTCTTTTTAAATTAGAAAAGTTTCTGTCCTTCCTGGTTTCAGAACAGATGGGGAGTTTTCACTCCATTAATACTGGATTTTATGTCCGGACAGGAGTTGAATTATGGGATCATCTGATTAAAAACCCCACATTAAATCATTAATGAAATGAGCCGCTCGATTATATAAGTCATATTCCTATTATTTCTAACTTGGCCACCGGCCGGAAGAAGCTGGAAAGTCCAGAGAAACAGCCAACCTTGACTGTGATTCACACTCCCCCAGCTAAATTACTAAGGAGGAAGGGAGGGACAGCATTTCCCAGAAAAGTGAGGACCAACACTAATGGGCAAATTTAGGACAGAGAAAGGAGCCCCTGGAGCGGGGAGGATCCAAGGTCTCCGTTTGGAGTCAGACAGGTTTGACTGGGAATCTGTTGGCTGTTTTTCAGAGGGTTTTGTCCAGCACGACTGCCTGTGGTCAGAGGAATCTCAGCATCCTCCGGGTGAACTTTTCCAGGAGGGGTTGGGGTGCTGGGGGAAGCAGGGATCCAGCTGTGTCTCACAGCTGCCGGTTCCCTGTGCTGTTCCCAAGCAAGACGCCTGCTCCTTCCACAGGGAATGGTGTCAGTGTGGCTAAAAAACTGCCCTGAATTCTCCCTCAAATGTAAACATCTTCACTGGCTTTGTTTTCAGGTTCTGCCTGTTTCGACACTGGAAGGAAAAACCCTAAATAAATTTAAAAGATAGCTGAGGGAAGGAGGCTTCACTTGGTTTGGGTTTTTTTGTTTTTTTTTTTTCTTTGATAGGGACTTTCTAAATGCAATATTAAAAGAAAGGAGAGGTCTTTTGGTTAAGGGTCTGAACTGAGATCATGTTTCTGGCTTCAGTTCCTGATAGCCCTGGACTCCACAGTAGGTGAGTCAGGATGCCATTCAGAACACTATATATCTCATCTCCTCTGTGGACACTGAAATATCTTCCTGGATCTGGCGTGTAATCTGTGTGGGTCTTGATTACTTTTCTGGGACCTGGATGAAAAATGTCTTTTTTTGTCCTTGCTATTTATTTTCTTGACTGGAAGGTATCTGGAGGACCTGAGAGGGAGATGAAAGTTGCTGAATGTGCCCCTGCTAGGGACACAAGGCCACATGGATTCAATCTTCCACAACCCTTCAGATCTTGTCTGTGTTCAGGAAGGAGTGAGCACGTCTGACTCCTGCTACCAGTGCTGCCAGACTGTGGCTTCCTGCTCAGTTAACAGAGAGGTCTTGGGGCTGTGCTCAAAACACGCCTGGAAATACCTGCATCTCCCTACTGCCTGTGCAAGGGGCCAGGATCTGGCAGCTCTGGGCTGTGGAAGGTCTGGGTGGATCGATGTTCCTACGTAGAACAGCCATTTCTGTGCTCTTACTTAGTGTGCAAACTCTTTGGGACGGCACACGTTTCTTATGACTTTGTGGTGCCAAGTGCAGCACATCTCTCCATGCTCTTGTAAAACAAACAACAAACACGCCTTCTGGCAGGGGGATCATCTGTCTCAGTCCTTTCCCTCCTTCAGAAGAAGCTGCTCCCATGGCTTTGTGCAATAGGTTCCCTTATCTTCCATCTCTCCGTGGCGCAGTGGCTGTGCCACGCTGGGCAGCCGTGGATGGCTCTGTTCCTCCTTGTGAGGAGTTCCTTGCAGCAGAGCAGAGGAGAGCAGGAGGGACCATGGCCCACAACCAGTGCAGCCTTTTCATCCCAGGACAGAGGAGAAAACTCAGTCAATCGAGTTGTTTGTTGTCTTTAACACAGCACAATCGTTCAGTCTGTCATGAGCAAATGCAAATCGAGGGAGGGCACTGACAGATGAATGCGGGACACAGGGATCAGTGAGCCGTGTGTTCTCTCGAGGCTGGGCCTTGATGTGTGAGCAGGATTGACTCACAAGGGAAAGGCTGATATGGCTCTTGCCCTTTCGCAAACACAGCCTGTCCTGGGCAACCTGAAACCTACGTCTTCCCCATACAGGCAGCAGAGCTTAGGAATCTGCAGAGCTGCCTGTAAAATAAACATCTTGGTCATGGATTGGGTCGCTCCATGTGCTCTGCTGACTGTGCTGGCTGTGTCTCCACTGACCTTCATGGAGCCGAGGGCCTGTGCCCTGCCCTGAGATACCTGAGGTACCCGTCTTCATGTAGAGCTGAATCTCGTCCTGAAGTAGAAAGGCTTCATTCCCTGGGCTCCCAGTGCCTCAGGGTCTGGGTACCTGACCTGACTTCCAGCCACTGGTCCAGGAGGTCTCCTGGAGGGCCACTGTTGTCTCCTCCATCCCTCATGCCACGGTGGGAACAAAGCAGTACTGAAGTCAGGTCCAGCACCCTGGTGAATCCTTTCCACCTATTCAAATAGGGGGAAAATAATCCCACACCAAAACAGCAGCATCCTATCCGGTCTTTGCTGGGCTTCCCATGAGCATGGATAGCCTGGGAATGGGGATTCATCCCACTTGACTGTTGATGGTCATCGGAGAGAGAAGGACACATTGAGGTGTGAATGATCTGTAATAAACCCCCAGTGACAGTCAGAGGAGCCCAGCTGACCAGCACACCTACTGCTGTACCCAATTATAGAGTTATTTTGGGTTTTCTTCTTCCTTTGCCTTCCAGCTCAGGCCGCAGGATGACAGACGGTGACACGAATCTGCCAACCATCGAGAGGAAGCTGGGACTGCAGATATGGGGCATAGAGGTACGACAAGAGGCAGTGATGGCACATGTCCTCCGCATGCCTGGGGGGAGGTTGTGTTTCATGTTTCAGGGGAGAGGTATTCTTGAAGTAATCTGTGTGGGAAAAGTGGGTCTTACAGATAAGATAGAGTGGGAAATAGAAGACCCAATGTCTCCCTGTGAAACTTTCCACATGTTATGGTTTTGGTTTCCTGCCCTGTAAGACGGGGATGATAATATTGACTAGGGAAAGAGGAATGTGGTGGGACTGAAACTCTTCCTCCAGCACCAGAGGCTTTTCTCACTTCTTTTGGGAACCAGTGCAAGGCTGCTTTAGCACACCAGAAATTCCCTGTTTCACCAAGAAGATGGATTATCCGTAGGTGACCTTAGTCTGTACCAGCAGCTGCCACGGGGGAGACACTTATTTTTGTGACAAAGGCATTCCATCGTGCCTCTTTGCACTTCATTCTTGTCTTCCCTACTCTGGGTCACTGTAAGGAGAAATCCTGTGAGCTCTGAGTTCACTTTCTGCTTGTGGAGGTGTTTGATTTTGGATTGGAGCTGGGCTGTGCTCAGTTCTGCCTTTTTCTGTCCCAGTTCACCAAGAACACCAGAACCATTAACCTGCAGTGAGAGTGGGTACAGACTGAGGTGCAAAGTCCACTCGGGGGAGCAGTGGGAAGGGGATCCAACACACATCTCCAAGTAGGACTCAGCAAGTCCCAGCTGTGTTCCAAATATCACAGTCTTTGCCTTTCCATTTCTCTCCAAAGTACTGCACTAAGCTGCTTTCCAGAGGATCTGTAATTAGAGCCATGTGGGTTCACGAGGGTCAAGCTGGTATGCTGGGAAACAA